ACGAAGTTGGCAGCGAAAATCCTTCGCCGGTGCGTCGCTACCGACAGCGGCAGCACCCCTCGTGCCCTCTTGGTTCACGCGGTCCTCTCTTTACGCCGGAACCGGCACGCTAGACACCATTAACGGTTTCGTCCTTCTTGTTCGATCTCGCGACGCGTGAACACGCGTATCCGCCGACCTCGCAGGTTTGTGCAAGTACGCATTTTTCCGGTCCACGCGAAGCTGAAGTTTTCAGCACACACTTTAATAGTTAAGTAATTATTGTTTTCTCGTCCTCGCAATCCAATTAGTGATTAAGACTTGTGTAAATATTCTCGTGTGTTCTGTGTATGTTCGTCTGACCTTTGTAAATATTTTTTGGGTGTATAATTAAAGATAATTGTGAACTTACGCAGGCGTGTTTATTCTGCTCTCGCTGACCACGCTAAAATCGCAAACACTCGTGCTTTCTCAAAAGATGATAACAAAACACCGTTAACGGCCGGTCCGGACTCGCCTTCGATGCAAAAGCGGCTATCTCCCTCCAAAAAAGGAAGTGGCTTACATTTACGCTTGGTTGTTGTAACTTTCTGATTGTGTATTAATCATATAATTACACTGTCCAACAAATTTTAATTTTTTTTGTGTGTTCCGATCTGTACTAGGTGATTCTTATAGTGCTTTGCACGCTGATTACGAATCTACAAACCGTTTTGCTCCTATACGTACAGTTTTTGAGAAATTTGATTTTGAAAAAAAAAAATATTTTTCAGATTTAAACAAATTGTCTGACGTAATTATAAAAGATATTGAAATTCTATTTACACTGAAAGATTCTGTAGACTTTCTTGAACACAACAATACCTATCTTTAATACATTATAAATGTTTAAATATATTTAAACGATTATTGAACGCGGAGGGACCCCAAATTGGCACCAATTTTTTAGGATAATTTTCAATTTATCTGAAAAAGTAGAGGTCCAGTGTAAAATCGAATAATACCACGCGATAGAGCAGATTTTTATCTTGAAAAACCACCCAAAGAAAGTTGCAATATCGATTGTTTTATCAAGCCAGAAAGCGAAATAACTTCGCGGAAGACGAAGCACCGACAATGGCGCTCCGCGTTAGGACGGTTCCTCGGCGTCCCGCCTAATGCAGTTACGCCACAGCATAGGCACAGTATAGGCACAGTATAGGAAAGAACAGTAGGATCACTCTGCCAAAAAGCGTACCAATAATTGTCGCTCGCGCATGACCGAATCGCACAACCAATAATATGGCGGCTGTGAATATATATGATAATAGTTTCTTGCATTTTAACCTCTGTTACTTCTAAAACATTCCTGTTGCGATAAAATTCAGTAAATTTTATACAGAGATATAAAATATGAGTGAAAGAGGGGGATACCGTTGTTCCTTCAAAGGGTGCCAAAGTGCAAGCAGTGACAGCAGTAAGAGGCGTTCTGGGACACCCTATATTTTATATCTGTCAAATGATATTTATCCAACGTTTCTTGTACATTTTAGATATAGACATTGTAGCGACGCAATCAGGAAGAAGTTTTCTCCTGCGTAAAGAGAAAGCGACGTTCGAGCAGAAACAGATGGCCCTTTAGCACAAAGGGCAATAAAGTCGTTGTGCGCTCGGACACGGCGACAGCGGTAGATTTTGGCTTTCGACGCGTTGCTACGCGGGAAAACTATAGTGTTTAGAGGCGTTTAAGGGAAAATTTTCCTGTTCCCTCTCCAGAAATATTCCGGGTTGGCCTGGGCTATATAAAGTCTAGCTAACCCGGCGGAGGGCCTGTTCTCTTATTTACGTCCCGCAACATAGTTCGGTGCAAGGACAAACCTTGTACCGTTAATCTTCGCTAAATTAGAATAGTTATAATTAGACTAGGTAATTGTATTTCATAAGTAATTATACCAACTATTTATTCCGATAACGTGAGTGTTAAATTTACCTACACATATGATCCCAAAACAATATTATTATTATCATCATTATTTTATCAAAATATTACCACTTTATGGGTTGTTTATTAATTTCTAAGATATGCTGTATACATTATACATTTGTATATAATTTATTAGGACTTTATTAATTGAATAATTGTTGTATAATATAATTGTATTGTATAGAGATTTCAATAAAATGTGTATTTTAATTAAATGTAGATATTTAATAGTCTTTTTATGGTATTCTATTACGAAATCTCTTTTTGATTGTACCGAGTGCTTTTCAAATTAGAGCCCGCGCACAACCAGCATTATGCTATTAGTATTTACGATTAGATCAAAAGTGCCGACACGGAGTGAGCCTACTGTTCTTTCCTATACTGTGGTTACGCCGAGCAACCGTCCTGACGCGAAGCGCCACTGTCGGTACTTCGTCTCCCGCGAAGCTATTTCGCTTTCTGGCGTGATAAAACAATCGATATTGCAACTTTCTTTGGGTGGTTTTTCAAGATAAAAATCTGCTCTATCGCGTGGTATTATTCGATTTTACGCTGGACCTCTACTTTTTCAGATAAATTGAAAAATATCCTAAAAACTTGGTGCCAATTCGGACTCCCTCCGCGTTCAATGATCGTTTAAATATACTTAAACATTTATAATGTATTAAAAATAGGTATCGTTGTATTCAGGAAAGTCTACAGAATTTTTCAGTGTAAATAGAATTTCAATATCTTTTATAATTACGTTAGAAAATTTGTTTAAATCTGAAAAATATGTTTTTGTTTCAAAATCAAATTTCTCGAAAACTGTACGTATAGGAACAAAACGGTTTCCAGATTCGTAATTAGCATACAAAGCACTATAAGAAGTACCTAGTGGGAATCGGAACACAAATTCACTGTTGGACAGTGTTATTAGTGTAGGATTGGAATATTCAAATGATACCATGATTTAAGAGTAATGTGATATTTATCACTCAGAATTAAATTATATTTCAATGAGATGTACAATGATCGAAGACAAAACCCGTATTCGTATACTGTGATCATGATCGTATTCGTATTCGTATTCGTATTCGTATTTGTAATCGTAATCGTATGCGCGTCGCAGTTCTCTGGTTATTCTGCCTGTCCCTTCTGCCTGCGCGTCCTTTTATCTACGCTCGGATCAAATATTACCGGTCCTCCTTCAAATTCGTATCATTCAACCTTTCCGCCGGCTCTAACGTTTTCATCGTGAGCAAAAACATTCCTACCGCTCACGTACGCATGCACACACTCACTCGCTCGAGGTTGACACGCTTAGAAGAGTTCAAGAACTGTTGGTGGTTATTGTTACCTCCGTGGTTTGTATTTCTTTTAATGTTTCTTTTCGACATTTCGAGAACTCTTCTTTCCGTTAGCAAATGTTCCCTATATTAGTTTTCAATTCCTTGAAGCATGCACAACATTTTAATGAAAGAAGTTTGCTTCTTCTATCTAATATAAAAAAATTTAAGGAAGAAACATGTCTGATAGAGGGTTGTAACGCTCATCATAATCTCTTTTTTTTTTATTGGATAGAATATTACATACAATTCTCACAGAGAATTTTGAGCAAGTATGATGTCATGTTGCCATGTCATGATATGTAACCTCACGGTAAGGCTACCTTGTTTGATTCATATCTAAATAATTTAAAATATTCTATGCTAATTGAATCTATTGTGTAGATCCAGTGTATAATGCCTCTTCAGTCTTTTTCGGTGGTCTGCTCTGTTTAGAAGCTGGATAACTAGAAGGTTGGAATGTTTAGTCAAGTGTGTGTTATAGCGGTTACTGAATTTCGAAATTTCTTCTTTAACTATTGGTATTTTTAAGTCTCTATTCTATGTATGGTTTCATTGGTTACATACCGAGGAACATTACAGATAAGCCTTAGCGTTTTCGATTGGAATCGCTGTAGGATCTCAATGTTAGAGTTACTGGCTGTACCCCAAAGTTGAATCCCATAAGTCCATACAGGTTTTAGAATGATTTTGCTTTTTAGACTTAATTTCGAATACATACCTATGAGCCAGTAGAACTGTCTTACTCTACCTTTACCAGACACGTTGATGTCTGGATCGTACGTATACATATACTCAATGTCGCTGTGTGCAAAGTGCTCTAGACTGGCTTATAGTTAGAGCAAGTTGCCATGTTGTCACTCTAACTGTAACTCCCATGTGGACAGAGCGAGTTGAGTGTCGCAGATTGCTCTAAGCAGTTTCCAACATTCCGGGAACGTTTTGGTAGTGTTACATCCGTCGAATTAAAATTCTATAATATCCCTCTTAAAATATCCCTCTAAATATCTTTATTATTTATGGTTTTATGGCAAAAGACCTATGGCAAAGTTAAACTATTTCAAGAGGCGCAAATAATAATAGTATTATTGTTTTCGATCATCATTTTTTCCGAAGAACTTTTCCCATTTCAGATACTTCCATTTATTCTATTATTTATTTGTTCCTCCTGTATATGTAATAACCAGCTTTCCGTTTCATTAAATAAGTTTTACTACCCAAACTGCTTACATTTTTGAGGATTAATTAAGGATGGGAGAGGGAAATACAACATGGATGGTGTTTCGTTAGAACAGATAATGGACTTACCAATTTACCATATATTGTCCGCTAATGAATATCTAACAATCAGTTACGCGTATCCTAGAATGGTAATGGTCATTCTAACTTGTATCACAAAGAATGTGAAACCTATGAGTTATTTTTATTTTTTTTATTTAAGCGATGTGAACCTCCTTTGAGGTTATTTCGCATTACATTTTACATAGGCGGATATACAAATGAAAGTATGCATACATAAGTCGTGCGGTTGTAGGTTTGGTGAGGTTCGTGAGGTTGTGTTAGATCGATAGGTTGCAGCTTTTAAGGAACGATTGGATGATGTTACATATGGCTGTTGTGGGGTTTTGAAGTAGGATGTTGCATGACAGAGGGAGGTGGTAGCTCAGTTTTTGTAGCTTGCAGATCAGGTCTTTCCTCTGGTCGTCAAGCAGAGAGCATTGCCAAAATACGTGGCCGATGTCTTGCCTTTCGTAGCCGCATTGACATTTCGGGTCGTTCACTATGTTTATCCGAGTTAGGAAGTGGGCCAGGTTGTAATGGCCTGCCCTGCATCTGTTGACCACCGTGATGGTTTCTCGTTTTAGGTTCCTTCCGGTGAACCAAGGTTTGGCGTGATTGTTGTGGAAGTGCGTAAAGTAGTTCTTCCCTTTGGTTAATCCTAATTGCGTGATGATGTCCCGTGTAGTATTAGTTGCTATCGTTTTGGCCTGCTTGCTAAGGTCTGTGAAGGGAATTTTGGTGCGATCTGTCGGGGCGAGATTTGCTGCGGCTTTGGCTAGTTGGTCTGCCTCTTCGTTGCCGCGGATTCCTTTATGGCCTGGAATCCAGTAGAGTTTGATCGGGTTGCTGTTTTGGGCTTTAACACAGAGTTCGGAGATCTTTCTTTTTATCTCCAGTATGTATGGGTTGGTTTTGATGCTCGCTGTCGGGTGCGTTAAGGCGAGCAGGACGCTGAGGGAGTCTGTGAAGATGAGGAATTTCCGATTGGGGTGCTTTAGAGCGATGTCCATCGCGTCGCTTATAGCCACACATTCCGCCGTAAATATTGAGGAATCTTTATGGATGCTTCTGGTTGTTAAGATGTTTAAGTCCTTGCACATGCAGGCACTTCCTACAGAAGGTGATTCTTTTGATTTGCTTCCATCGGTGTAGATTGCATGAGAATTTTCTTCGGTGGTCAGCTGGTCAATTAGGGTGTTTGGGTTTCCTGTACGTACTAGGGTTTTGCCAAATTCTGTGTTGATGTTTATGTTCTTTATGAGAGCGTAGTAGTCTGTACGATGGATAGGATAGTAGTCTGTAGAAAATATGTGTCCGGTTATGTTCTTAGAGTTACCTATGCAGGATAGTAGGATACGGTTGCTAAAGTTCCGTTTTTTGTTCCTGCTGGCTAAAATTTTACTGCAGCGGGAAATGGTTTCATGGACTAACAGCTTCCTGTTGGAGAGGACTTTGTGCAGGTATCGGTTGCACAGAAATTTGTAGCGCTCTTGGAGGAGGTGGAGCTTGAATTCTGATAGGAGGATGTTGGTGGGGGTGCTGGTTCTATAGCCAAGGGCTGCTCTTATTGCTGCATATTGGATTTTTTCCAGTTTTACTATGTTTTTGGCTTGTGTTGGAAAGTAAATGAAACACCCATGATCTAGAATTGAACGTACAAAGCTCTTGTACAAAGTTATTAGGATGTCCGGATCGGCACCCCACCATGTGCCCCTTACAAATTTTATTATGTTCATGGCTCTCGAGCACTTTTTTTTCTGTAGTCGAAGAGTATACCTAGGAAGCGGATATATTCACTTGATTTAATTACTGTGTCTTTTATTGTTATTTCAGTTTGGCCTGGTTTGATATTGTGTTTGTTGAAGTGTACGAAGGTTGTTTTGTGGGTTAAAAGTTCCAAGCCCAAATTCAGCAGTTTGTCATATATACGTGAGATTGTCTTTTCAAGGAGCTTCTTGTTTTTGCTATAAACTGCAATATCATCTGCAAATTTGCTGATTGTGACACCCTTAGGTATGTTCTCGGCTATTGTTGATACGTATATATTGAAGAGAATGGGGCTTAGAACCCCCCCTTGCGGTACCCCTTTGTACACTTTCCTGGGATTGATTCCTGTGGCCTCTGTGAAGATCAATCTTTCAAATGTTAGGTGTTGGATAAATTTAACTAGAGAGGCGGGGCAGCCTACCTTGGCTAGCTGACTGAGGAGTATGTCTATGTTTACGTTGTCGAAGGCGCTGTTAATGTCTAAGAATACCGCTAACAGGTCTTTTTTGTTGCTGGAGGCTTCTTCTATGCTAATAGTGAGATTGATTAGGTTGTCAGCAGTAGAGTGACCTTTTCGGAACCCGGATTGAGCCCTGGGGAGAAAATTATTGTGTTCTATCCACCAGTCCAGTTTGTTTTTTACTAGGGATTCGAAGAGTTTGCAGAGGCAAGATGTAAGGGAGATGGGTCTGACGCTTTTACCGTCCGGTTTATTGATGAAGTGAATGTACGATTTTTTCCACTCTTCTGGGTAGTTGTTCGTGCCGTACATCTCGTTATACAGATCCAGAAGAATGAGTTTGAATTTGATGGGGATTCTTTTGATAGTTTCGTAGTCTATCCCGTCGATGCCAGGAGCTGAGTGACTGGACTTGTTTTGCAGAGCACTGTTGAATTCCGCAAAGTCAAATGGAGAGCTTAGGAAGTCGTTTTCGTCACAAACTGGAAAGCTACGTGGATCGTTGGGGACCCAGGGGGGGCTGATTTTGTTCAGGGCTTCGGTGATTTTATTATTCCATTGGTGGCTCTCGGATGTGTGGGTTGATGTGATTTTGACCCACTTGTTTTTTAGGATCTTACTGGTATTCCAGACATAGGTTTTGTTGGAAGCGAAACTTAGTTTTTCTGCAAAGGCTTTGAAATTGTCTCTTTTTTTCTTTTTAAACGTTTTCCTAGCTAGGGCAGATGCCCGTTTATATTCTATTTGATCGTGGAGATTTTTGGTGAATTGCTATTTTTTTAGAGAGGCTTTGCGAAGTCTTTTAACTCTTTCACACTCCGAGTCCCACCAAGGGACAGGATTTCTGTGGGATCTAATGTTAACCGTTCTCTTTCTGGGTGTGTTTAGCTCGACTGCTGTAGTCACAGCCCTTACCCAGACGGAATATTTATCCTTAGTCGGTAGAGTGTCGTATTCGCTTGTCAGGAATTGATAATAGTTATCATCCAGGTCTCTGCAGACTTTTTCCCAGTCAGTCCTCTTAGATTTTATATTGAACGATTTTTTACGATATACCGTCTTTTCTAAGTTTAAGTCTATGAATATTGGGTAGTGGTCAGAGCCCCAGGTGTCGTCACTTACTCTTACATTGATTTTGTCGGCAACGTTGAGAGAGGAAAATATTAGGTCAAGGTTAGAGGCGGAATTGCCTTGTACGTAGGTAGTGGAATTGGGGTTGTGGAGGAATAGGTTGAATTTATCAGAGCTGTTTAGGAGACGTTCTCCGTTAGAGTCATTTTTCTTGCAGTTCCAATTTTTATGATGAGCGTTGAAGTCGCTCATTAGGATTGTGTGACTTCCCCGCTCAACGTTGTCGATGATTTGATCCCATTTGGTTGGTGAGAGAGTCGTTCCTGGGGCCCTGTAACATACGTAGATATTTATTACAGAGTTAGTATTGGTGATCTTTATACCCGCTAGCTCCACGGTGTCACCAGGGATCTTGAGATTGCTAAGTTCTTTGAAGGCTAAGTTGTTCCGAATCATGATCAGGATCCCTCCTCCTCTTGAATGTATTCGATCTTTCCTGAAGGTTTTGAAGCCGCTGTGGAGGAAGCTCTTCTCATGCGGTCTCGCTTCTGACAGCCAGGATTCCACACATATGAAGAGGTCCAGGTCCGTGAGGATCTTGCAGAGTTCTTCTTTCCTTGGGTAGATGCTTCTTGGGTTCCAGAATAGGCATCTCAGGTCTCTTTGGTTTGGAGTGGGCATTAGGACGCGGTTTTGTGGGTGTAGTTGGATTGGGGTGGGATTAAACTCCGAGGTCGAGATCTGAGTCACAGTCTGATGACGACGGAGTGAGATTGGTAGAGGTTGTGTTCGAAGCATTTCCTACTATGTTGTTTATTTTCTTTGACAATCTGCTGTTTTTAGTACCACTGTGTTTGAGTAGTGGATGGATTTCGTTTAGCATTTGTGATATAGCAGCCACGTCATGTGTTAGCCCGTTTGCCGCCCCTGCTGGGTCCCGAAGGAGAGAGTATCTTTCAAGGAAGTCAGTGAGCTGGGCGAAGTCTAGCGGAAATCTGTGCTGGTTGTTATCTATTAGATCCTTGGCTGGTTCTAGTGCTCCGTTTAGATCTAGTTTGTTATTGAGGCTGATTTTCCTTCGTTTGGTGTGCGCTTGTTGTAGCGGTAGGGGAGCTTTGAAGGTGCCGGGGTTTGGAATGTTGGTATCAGCGGGCCCCGCGATATGATTACAGATTTCTGCGTTGTTGCGGTCGGTAGAGTCAAATAATTGAACAGATTCTTCTGTAGTAGTAGAGTGTGCTCTTTTGTTGATATGGTTTATGTCCTGGGATAAGGAAAGAACCTCTCTAATTAGGGATGGGAGAGGGTCGTTGACATTCGGTGCCGGAGCGTTAGTGTTATTCGGATCTTCGATCTCGAGAGTCGCTAGGTTGTTGTCACCTGCGGGCCTCCTCTTCGGGCACCGAACGGCTATGTGTCCCTCTTCGTTGCAGTTGAAGCAAACTGGCTTGTCGGTGGATGCAAATATTCTGTATTGGGTTTCCTCGTGCGTGATAGTGAATGATTCTGGGATCTTAGCAGCGTCTTCCGGATTCACATAGATCTGTCTTCTGAAACTTAGGATGTGGGAAAAGCCTGGTTCTTGGAGTCCGGCTCTTAGAAATGACATTTTTGAAGTAGTGCGAATATTATTCCTTTTGAAGGCGTCTTCTAGGATCTGGTTTGGAATAGTGGGAGAGACGTTTGACAGAATGATGCGCTGAGAGAGAGAGATGAGGGGTTTCAGTTCAATGCTGATATTGTTGATGTTTATACTTTTGTATTTGGTCGTTAGTTCAGTGGCGGTTTTGACGGAGTCTAAGTATATACAAATTCTCGCATTTGAGATGCGAGAGATGAATCTGATTGCACTGGGTCCTACTATATTACCGATGCTACTTGCATAGACTTGGATCGGTATACCTTCTTTGGCTTCTAAAACTATCGCTTGTTCTTTCCTAGGGTAGATACTGTTGGCAGTTTCGTTTGTCGGTTGGGTTGAGACGTTCATGATGTTGGTCGCATTCGGGTTGTCTTTGCGGTTTCTTGGTTCTGCAGACATCCTTGATTGCCGTGTGATCGCAAGAGCACCCGGCGAATGCGGGACTCTTGGTGAGAGGTTGCACTGGGCACTTTCACTGATATAGCTTGTGTGTACTTCGGAGACGGCACTCGTGAACGATCTTGTCGCTAGGACGGTCTCGAAGAGACTCCCACCTATGAGTTATACAGGGTGTCCCGGAATTCGCGTAACTCCCGAAAATGGGGGATTGCTGGGGTGATTCTGAACAACTTTTTCCTTTATTAAAATGTTGGTTGAAGCTCCGTTTTTGAGTTATTAACAAAAAACACTGGCCAATCAGAGCGAGCGTAGAGCGCGCGCTGAACCACGAGAGCGTTGGCTTTAAACCGTGCACAGTCGTGGTCGTGAAAAAACGCATTGGCACAGCTTGGATATAGAGGGAAACGTGCGACTAATTCCACATTGTTCTTAATTTAAGATAATGTAACATTTGTCACACGCTTTTCTCGATACCCATGCTGTGTCAATAGGTTTGTTCGTGACCACGACCGAGCGCGGTTGAAAGCCAACGCTCTCGTGGTTGAGCGTGCGCTCTACACGCGCTCTCATTGGCCAGTGTTTTTCGTTAATAATTCAAAAACGAAGCTTCAACCAACATTTTGGTGAAGGAAAAATTTGTTCAGTATCACCCCAGCAACCCCCTATTTCCGGGTATTACAGGAGTTATGAGACACCCTGTATAATCTTTTTCTTGGAATACCGTGTATATAAAGGAAAAATATATGGTATAATATTTCATACTGCACAAATATCTTCCAATATAGTTGAGAATTGTGTAAGCACACGTGACACTTATTGCTGCTACTTGCTTCGACGCGAGTCTCCGACATTACTCTGGCTTCAAAAATTGCAGTACGTGTGGATAGTGCACAGTAATTCAGAAATCTGGGAAAGTAAGCAAAATTCTAAATATACCTACATATTTTCGTCGAAAATTGATATATAATAATCGTACAGTATGAACATTTACGGGTGCAAAGCGCCTGCTGGGTGTAGTTGTTTTACCCACTCCGTTTCGTTTTTTAGCCTAAGAACAAAACTCCTTACGGCGACGAGAGTTAAGTGTTGGGTCTTTGGTACCCGATACAATGATTAACAAAGCCATGAGTTTGTCCACGCCCGGTATTATTTGGGGGTGGTGGCTGTCAGATGGTGGATTCTTTTTTATTTTTATTTAACACCGGTCGGTGTATTTCGCGGTATTGTAACCTGATCGCGGAACTACGCTGACGTCCAATATCAATCTCATGTGTTTGACAATCAGATAATATTAACCATCGAGAGCAATAAATTCACCGTAATATACAGCTCCGTTGCTTCTATACTTACCTTGTAAAGATTGTAACAACGGTAAGTTCGTGAACCGATGAATTATTGCACCAATTTAGAAGCACGGTCGGTCAATAGCTTAATTCTTGATTATTAAAAAAGGTCTTAAGCTGGTCGGAGTGATAGTGTGTCACGCATCGAAGCAATTATCATGTTAAACGTAAAGGTCCAACATTAAACAGATCCTCTTCAGGACAAGGCCCGTAAAGTCAGAAAACTCAGTTCGGACATTCGTATTGTCCACGAGCTCGCGACAAGCGATTTACAATCTTTTACGGGCTCTTCCGACGTTTTTTGTGCATGAGTCGTAGCCAGTCCAAACAAGGGCCCAAACCTTTCTGTTGGCTCGGCTTAGCTTTCCTTCATAATTTCTCCTCCGTGTTCCAAACAAGTCCCCCTGCCGTGCACGTGTCGCTGCGAGTCGTACTGACCCAACAACGGTCATGAACCGTCACTGCGCTCTGTCCCAGGCACCACCGCACAGTGGGAAAAAACGGCTTTCGGCGATCAAAAGTCGATTTTCGTGAATTCAAAAATTGAAAAACTATTTACATACATCGATAGAGAATAAACTGTAGTTTAACGTAGTGTAATCCGTTTTTTTCATATTTGCTTCCGTTTTGCCGTGGTTCGCACTCAAAGTCAGTAGAAAGGGTATAGCAGGATAAGATGGTCAAAAGTGCCCTCGAGCCGAATTTGCTTCGCAATGCACCATTCGATAGCATGTCCCAAAAAACCATGGTACACAAAGTTTCAACCCTGTACCTCAACCGGGAGGGTAGTTACAGGGTAAGAAAGAAAAAGTAGTTTTTGCCATATTTTCCGTATTTAATGGCATTCAAAAAATCTAAGAAAATTCTAGAATATTCTAGCCATGTTTCTTTATGATTGTGAATTTTTTCAGATTTTTAGGTTGCAAATCCTAGGCGTGAAAAATCAAAAACGCAAAAAAAAGACGAAAAATTGAGATTTCGGGTAGAAGCTTTCGAGACACTAGATTTTTACTTTTACAGTAGTTAGATATTAGCATGACTGGTGTACCCAATTTTTTTCAGATTTTTCATTCTGGTGCGTCAAACCGAAAAAAATCAAAAACCGATATTTTCGACATATTTCGTGCGATAACATGAGAAATACTTTCAATCTTTACATTTCCTTTACACACTTAGTGCATTATGTGTTTTCTAACATTTTTGCACTGGATGCAGTAAAATCTGAATGGAGAGAGTGAAGTTATTGTAAATAATTGAAAATTACGCACCGTATCCTCTAAAATATTAGAAGGTTTTTCAACGTCGCTGATGGGTAAGTCGGTATGGTGTCCGACTGTGAAACCGCTGGAAACTTTTTTGTCTCGAGTTCGCGCCCCATGAACGATCAGTTTTATTTTTTTTCATAAAACAATTTTTTTTTAAATTATTAATTGCATTACAATACACAATAATCATTTAATAATGTATGAAAATAATTTTGAAATATTTTATTATTAAGTATGCATAAAAATAAGTGGTTCAATATCCATCATAAACCAACAACCACGCGGTTTTTCAATTAACAAAATATTGGGAGCTATCCGTAATTAGAACAATAAGTAATCAGAAAATCGGTAGTGCACCACTTATTTTTATGTATACTTAATAATAAAATATTTCAAAATTATTTTCATACGTTATTAAATGATTATTGTGTATTGTAATGCAATTAATAATTTAAAAAAAAATTGTTTTATGAAAAAAAATAAAACTGATCATTCATGGGGCGCGAACTCGACACAAAAAAGTTTCCAGCGGTTCCACAGTCGGACACCATACCGACTTACCCATCAGCGACGTTGAAAAACCTTCTAATATTTTAGAGGATATGGTGCGTAATTTTCAATTATTTACAATAACTTCACTCTTTCCATTCAGATTTTATTGCATCCAGTGCAAAAATGTTAGAAAACACATAATGCACTAAGTGTGTAAAGGAAATGTAAAGATTGAAAGTATTTCTCATGTTATCGCACGAAATATGTCGAAAATATCGGTTTTTGATTTTTTTCGGTTTGACGCACCAGAATGAAAAATCTGAAAAAAATTGGGTACACCAGTCATGCTAATATCTAACTACTGTAAAAGTAAAAATCTAGTGTCTCGAAAGCTTCTACCCGAAATCTCAATTTTTCGTCTTTTTTTTGCGTTTTTGATTTTTCACGCCTAGGATTTGCAACCTAAAAATCTGAAAAAATTCATAATCATAAAGAAACATGGCGAGAATATCCTAGAATTTTCTTAGATTTTTTGAATGCCATTAAATACGGAAAATATGGCAAAAACTACTTTTTCTTTCTTACCCTGTAACTACCCTCCCGGTTGAGGTACAGGGTTGAAACTTTGTGTACCATGGTTTTTTGGGACATGCTATCGAATGGTGCATTGCGAAGCAAATTCGGCTCGAGGGCACTTTTGACCATCTTATCCTGCTATACCCTTTGTCAAAACGAAACGCTGATGATATTATCCGTAACTTCAATGTACGATTCTAATGAATTTTACTCGGAAAGATAAAATTCAAATGAATTACAAAGTTTACTAGATTAGTATAGATTCTATTCAGCGCATAAAATAAGTTAAAATGTTAGCAACTTTTTAAATAATAGGATCTGATTGAAACGAAGTACATTTAACTAAAATCTCAACTTTGCGTTTGATTTTAAAAAAATGTGTGCACTTGTGCGGGGTTTGATTATTACTGCAATAAAGAGTGAACCTTCCTCTATCAGAATCAGAAAAAAACGGCTGCCCCAACCTGCCACTGCTCAAAAAAATGGCGATTGAAATAAATTACACCCATCTTGGCCGCAGCGCAAGATGATGGAAAAGCAGTACCAGATACGATTATTATCCAGTTAACTGCATTCGACGTGTATATTCGTCATCCAAAACTTTATTTCACGAATGATTTGGTATAGATCATAATAAATATAAATAAATATATTATAATAACACATGTCTTGTCATTTTTTAATTATTAAATCCGTTTTTATTATAGTTATTAACAGTTTTGAGTCAAATTTTTGTTAAATGACATAAAATATGTCTAACAAGTGATGGGTATTGAACGCGTTACACTTTATACGTGAATATCTTGACACCCTGTAGTTCAATATGATTTATATTGATACAACTTAAGTACCATAATGTAGGCAAAAATTTCCCAAAATTTCATTAAAATATTTCCAATAGAACCGAAGTTACAGAATTTTGATCGCCAAAAGCCGTTTTGTCCCACTGTGCACCGGTCACCAAGACCATATATCAAACGCCGCGTAGGGGTTTCTGGGCCCACAGTCGCCCTTGCCTGGGAGATATCGCCGGTTCTGTGCAAACACGGACCTTAAGGCCGCGTCCAGACTATGCAACTAACAAGGGAACATCCGGGACTGATACACTCCGATTTTGAAGAAACTTTGCATAAATATTTATTAGACCTGTTTATGAAGATAACTGTAATTCATTGGTGCCCGTTTTTCTGTTTGAGGGAGATATCAACCATTTTATCCGAACCGCCCTTTCTATATACGTGCTTATAAATCGTAAACAACAAAAGATATAAAAAAATAGTTGAAATAAAAGTTATACCGTTTCTTGAGGTCAGCCTGGAACAGCTACCTGTTGTCGATTATCCTTTCGAAAATAAATTCGAACACTGTTTGGCATTGGGAGCTCTCATTGAAAGACAAACGGAAGGTACCACCCTATACGGACTTATTAGAATTTCTGGAAAAACGGGGCAATTGCGGGTTGATGTCAAGCGCAAAGGCTCCACTGTCCGAACGTCTTGTAGCGAGTCACTCAGGAAACCTGCGAACTCCTAAGCACCAACCGTCGCGAGGTCACGCTTTCTTAGCCGCGAAGACCCGTCATCATCCATATGACGAACGTAGACCGAAGAATAAGACAAACGTAACTAACACGCTGAGGCGGTGTCCGATTTGCAACGACGACCACAGCATTTGGACTTGTGAGAAATTCCACGGACTATCAGCTCATGAGAGGATCGCAGCCTTTAGGAAAACAACGTTGTGTCAGAATTGCTTCAGGGACGGTCACAGCGCTGACACCTGTCCCAGCAGCACCTGTCGCATCTGCCACCGGAAACATCACACCTTACTCCACCAACCAATCAGGACCGCGGAACCAATATCTCGACAATGCACAGCATCGTCAATCGAAAACCCGCGACAATCCAGTTGATTAGTTTCGGAGACTTCGATAGGTCCGAGAGGTCATAACGAAAACTGTCATTGTCGATGCAGTCTCTCAAGATCTTTTAGCAACCGCACAAGTTTATGTTCTGAATAAGTATCACCAACCTGTCCTGTGTCGAACACTCATCGACACCTGTGATTCGGCGAATTTTATAACCGAGGGTCTCGCCAAACGGCTGGGGATTCCATTAGGGAAATGCTCAATACCAATCGGAGTCCTTAAATACCATGACGACCATATCGAAACATACAGTCACGACGACCTTACAATCAAAGACCAATAACTTCGGACGGACTTTGACTTTTTTGACAATACCAACAATATCCTCATTCATTCCAGACCAGCCCATTGATCGTGCACTCATAAAGATTCCGAAGAATTTACAACTGGCGGACCCTACGTTCCACTTATCCGCGTCCATTGACCTGTTATTAGGCGCCGGAATCGCCCTTTCTCTATTAAGCGTCGGACAGATAAACTTATCACCCCAAAGTGGTCTGAACTTATTTGTACAGAAAACGAGACTAGGTTGGATTATCGGGGGGAGTGCCCCAGTTTCTAGACGTCTACAGGATACCTTTTGTCACGTGACAGTACAGGACGATTTAGCGTGTTTTTGGGAGTTGGAAGATGGACCTCAAATCATGTTCGGAGAAGTGCCGAGGGAAGATACATAGTAGCCCTCCCATTTAACGACAAATTGTCACGATTGGGAGAGTCCAAAACAAGGGCTCTAAAACGCCTGACGTCATTAGAACGGAGATTGCAGCTCGATCGAAATCAGTTCCAGCAATACCAGGCACTGTTGCAAGAATACCTGGACTTAAAACACATGTCAGAGCTACGAGACATCGACGAAATCGGAGACGGCTATTACTTACCTCATTATGGCGTCACAAAGGTCACTAGCAAAACCACTAAATTGCAAGTTGTATTCGACAGTTCAGCAGCAACAACAACCGGTATTTCGCTCAACGAAACTTTACACATCGGGCCTAAAATTCAGGGAGATTTATTACACATCCTCATTAGGTTTAGAAGTCATCGTTTTGTTTTGATCGGAGATATCGAAAAAATGTATCGACAATTCATTGTTCGTCCGAAAAACCGGAAGTACCAACGAATCATTTGGCGCGATCCCGTCGGAGAATTGAAAACTTACGAATTGAACACAGTCACCTACGGTCTATCAGCGATGCCATATTTAGCCATTCGCTGCCTTTCATCAAATTCTAGCACGGGACTTTTACGTGGACGATCTACTTACAGGAACTTCAACAATAGAGGAAGCGTTAACCTTACGAGAACAGATGATTCAATCGAGGGGGAATCATCTACTATAAAGACTTTCGGGGTCATCTGGGAATTCACTGATGATGCAATCTGATATTCCGTGGCGAACACCGTATCTACAAACTCCATTACTAAACGATCCATCAGCTCAGTGATTGCAAAAATTTACGACCCCTTAGGTCTCCTCGGTCCGGTTATAATAGTCGCAAAGGTTTTGCTACAAAAGTCTGGAGTCTGGACCTTGAAGGTCGATTGGGATGAGTCACTGCCAATGACCATATACACTGAATGGGTGCGTTACCGCACACAATTACCACTGTTAAACAATGTCACCTTCCAAAGGAAGACCATTATTAATGAACCCGTACACATTGAGCTACATGGCTTCTGCGATGCAACCGAGCGAGCTTACGGAGCCTGTGTTTACCTCCGGTCAAGGGATGCACATGGTAACTGTCAGGTGGAACTTCTGTTAACGAAGTCCAAGGTGGCACTGTTGAAAACCCAATCAATTCCCCGGCTGGAATTATGCGGAGCGCTATTTCTGTCTTCTTTAGTCGCTACGGCACGAAAGGCACTACAGGTTACCATAAATCGTACTTTTTATTGGACCGACTCCGCAATCGAGCAACACTGGCTACGAACATCGCCGCACCTGTTCAAAACCTTCGTCGTCAACCGAATATCTGAGATTCAGAGTAGAACGACCATCTCGGATTGGCGACATGTGCCAACCATGGACAATCCGGCAGACCTCATCTCCAGAGGCCAAACACCGGAAGAATTTCTGAGACCATCAATATGGCACCATGGGCCAAGGTGGTTACCTGACGAGGAAACACATTGGCCAGACGTAAATATACCTTGTCCGAACAACCTTCCTGAACAAAAAGGCATTATTTGTTTAGTAACAACCAGTTTTGATACTACCATCGTGGAACAATTTTCTTTATGGGGAAAATTAATTCGAATCGTTGCACGCTGCTTTCGATGGAAACCAAACAATCAGGAAAAAAGCTCTCACAGCAACGGAGTTAAAATACGCTCACAATGCCATGATCAAGCTCATACAACGAGTTCACTTCTCAGATGAAATCAAGAGCTTATCCATGAACGACAGTCGTGCATTAAAGGGCAAACTTCTACGTTTAAATTCTTTTTTAGACCGCCATGGACTTCTTCGAGTCGGAGGCCGCTTGAAAAGTTCATTGATGCCATTTGAACAACGGCATCCAATTATCCTTCCAAAGACCCGAGCCACCACACTTATAACTGAGAACGAACACCTTGCTTAATTACATGGGGGTACTCAGGCTACCCTGTACGCGATCAGACGAAGATATTGGCCTATTGCCGGCCGAAACCAGGTATGGCGAGTCATAAAGACCTGCACCCGTTGTTGTCGGGCTCGACCACCACCTGTTACGTACGTCATACGTGATCTACCTGCAGCCAGGGTCACGGAGTCTCGGCCTTTCACCAGCGTTGGAGTCGATTACTGCGGCCCATTCTTTATTAAGGAACGAAAACACTGGTACCGCAGTAAGATCAAGGTGTATGTGGCAGTTTTCATCTGCTTCGCTGTGAAAACAATCCATTTAAAGCTCGTCAGCGAGCTAACAACTGAAGCATTGCTGGCCGCTCTCAGACGGTTGATCGCCAGAAGAGGGTTCTGTACGAACATTCGGACAACGGGTCCAATTTCGTTGGCGCAAACAATGAATTACACGAAATGCGCTCAGTACTACAATCCGATGATCACCGCGAGAAAGTCACCACGTTCCTCGCAGAACACTCCATCAATTGGAGCTTCATCCCTCCGCTGACGCCCCACTTTGGAGGACTTTGGGAAGCTGCAGTAAAGTCCTTCAAGTACCATTTAAAACGTGTGGCAGGCGCGAAGCTGTTCACCTTTGAAAACTTCAACACCTTGATAATCGAAATTGAATCCATCCTTAATTCCCGCCTCCTCACGCCAATCTCTTCAGACCCAAAATTGGGGACGCTCTTCTGACATACGAGGAATCAATAACATTGCTCGCGCAGATTGAAGCGATCCTCAATTCTCGGCCACTGAAACCACTCAGCGACGATCCAGACGACGTCGCAGCCCTCTCACCAGGACACTTCCTGATTGGAACGCAGCTCAACGCAGTACCTGAATCAGCATTTCTCGATGTCGCAGCCAACAGACTGTCGAGGTGGCAGTTCCTGCAGCAGCGCCTCCAGTAGTTTTGGAGACTCTGATCCACGCAGTATCTTCAACAACTCCAGGCCATCTCCATCAAGGTAGACTCTCTTGTTCTCATTACTGACGAACGCTTGGCCCCAGGGAAGTGGCCCATGGCCAGGATTCTCAGTCTGATAGTAGGAAAGGATGAACTGACCAGGGTAGTTAAACTCAAGACGGCCACCACGACGTTCACGCGGCTCATCGCCAAGCTTGCTCTTCTTCATCAGCCCTCTTAAGACAGCGCGGACACGCAGACCACATCATCGACCAGTCGCTGATGGCCGGGGGGAAAGGTTGGCGAAATTCCCAAGTCCACGCAGAACAACGAAGTTGGCAGCGAAAATACTTCGCCGGCGCGTCGCTACCGACAGAGGCAGCACCTCTCGGGCCCTCTTTGTTCACGCGGTCCCCTCTCTACGCCGGAACCGGCACGCTAAACGCCATTAACGGTTTCGTCCTTCTTGTTCGATCTCGCGTCGCGTGAACACGTGTATCCGCCGACCTCGCAGATTTGTGCAAGTACGCATTTTTCCCGTCCACGCAAAGCTGAAGTTTTCAGCACGGACTTTAATAGTTAAAACACGGTGTAAGCAAAAAGCTTGGGAACGACAGATCGGATTTCTAACTACACAAGGCTCATAATCGACAATAACCTGTACAGCACATTTCTAACGTTTTTGCCAAAAATTTATGATGAATTTTCTTTTTTTTTGCTTTCTTTTATACATTGTATATACAAGGGTGTCCCTGAAAGAGTGATAGTCTCTTGGAGGAGTGGTTACTGAAGTGATTTTAAATAAAACTTTCTCCTTTGCCAAAATGTTGGTTAAGGCTTAATTTTTAAGTTATTAACGAAAAGCACTTCTAAGGGATAATCATTCTTTCTGAGATACCCTGTAGAATATGTTACATCAGATTACTTTCTGTACAGCGAACTATGTTTTATAAAAAGAAATCAAACTTCCCATAAAAATAACTGCACTAATGACTGCAAACACTACACGGTGAGACTGAAGGAACTCTGCACAGCGAGTTCATTTTCAGCTATTCCATCTTCTTCAGATAATTGCAAATCTTGTTGGGTTCCAAGCAAGTAAATCACTTCCTCAAATGGAAATCTTGATGGTTTCTTTCATCATTTTCATAAAGATGAAATAATCAAATTAGATGTTAATAAAAATTCGTAAAACATAACTTTTGTTTCTCATCTTCTTCGTTACTTCGTTACTAATAAGGTTATAGGTTTCAAAATAGCTGCAAAAACTTAAAGCAAGACAAAAGGGTTAATAAAAAAAAAGTCAAAGATGATATAACAGTTTCAAATCCAAAGCATTTGGACAACCTATTTTTAATAAAGGAACTGATAACATCGAGTTTCAGGACGAAAATGTCAGGACGTGAATGTTGGTTATATAAAAGTTGGATATAGTACGAAAATCTTTGCAGCTATTGCAATAAAAAGGGTAAAATTACAAGTAGAGGATGAAGTATAGTTGCAGTAAATAAATGCGTTTTTTAAAAAAGAAATACGTATACTAAAAATTACTTGTCCTTTGAAACGTCTCATATAGTTCAATTGAGATATTAAGTAAAATATTAAGAAATTAAAATTAGATATTTTTTAGGCAAATGTTACGTTGCGCGTACAATGCGCGAAAGAATAAAATGTTATTAGATAAGAAGAATGAATTACAATTAGATCGTTGCAAAGCAACCTCTTATTTCTTTCTTTCCTATTCTGGCGCGATGGTTGGTATTCGCTGCCACCAGTCTCGAGCGGATTAACGTTCTCGACAAATTAAAAGACGAAAGACAAGAATTAATTACGAGATGTTGGATTGAAAGAATTTTAGATTATTAGCCTTTCGTTGGGTTCGTTCAGCACTCTGGGTCCCGTACGAGTCCCTCCTTGAATCTGTATACGTTGGTAAGCGTGGTTTAAGACTGTAAAGTGTAGGAATGTGTTCGAAATGAATTTGAAACTGTTTTGGAAAATGAAACTGGTTTAATTTTGAAAGAAAAGTCAAATGAATAACAAAATACAAGAAATGCCAAAATTTGAGATCTGAATAAATTTGAAAAACTCGTTAATATTGAAAATACCAGTTCATGCAAGATGATAACAAGGGTAAAGATGCTTACTATTAGTTAACAAAAATATAATAATATGGAAATGCTCTGAGATCACAATTGAAACGTTTACGAGTAAATTCCGGTCGTGCAAACGTGATTACTATTTCGCTTCCCTTTTATTCAAAATTAGGTACTCTCGTAACCCCCGAAAGGGCTGGACTAAGGTGCAAGACAAGAAAATGAAAAAACAAAATCGTAACACCCAAAATAAATATAATCGGTCGATACCTCGTTTGATGGAACGATCCGGCCTGAGATACTCTCGTAATCCTCGAAAGGGCTGGACCAGATCGCCCGTTTTGCCAGTTGAGAACGTCGTGTTCGAAAAATGTAATGGAATCGATTTACCGATATGCTGTTCAATACAATACAAGAGTTATAATTTTCGCTTGCTAATATTCGTTGTTTGTTCGCTTGTTGATCTGGAACACCAAAGAACGGTAAGATTCTGAACACGCACTTGTCGCGGCGACGAATTATTCGGACGAGGACGTCGACGAGAGACAGACACACGAAATACAAGAATTAAATAATTTATAATTACGCGAGCAACGATTTAAAAACGGAAAGAAAAAGATAGAATATTAGGTAGAAGGAAGGTTTTACGTGCGCGTCAATGAGTCCTTGCTAAGAATCGGATGATTTCAACTCGCACAGCACTCTGTCTCGCTACGCGGAGGTCTTTACCGCAGAGGAAAACTATCACGAAATTCCGAACAACTCTGTCT